TTCATGTTAAATTCACATTTTTTATGCTCATTAATCATTAAACGAAATCATTACTTTAAACTAATCTCCGTGTTGTTGTGAAGATTTATTTATCAAGAATATTTGATCGCTTTTACTTGTAAGGTTTATTGAAATCAGCGCAGTCTGTACGTTGCAAATACATTGTAATGTTTGAATTTGTTATATAAGCAAAGCCAACGATTGCAATGCGTTACAGATAGGTAGATATTTCGGATTAGAAGACAATATGCAAACATTGTTTGTTCTTTTCTTACTTTCACAGTTTTTTTCACTCTAGAAAGAGCAGTTTGCTGCACAGCGGGACCAACTGCCAACAAACAAAGTGTGACGGACCGGTTTCTTTATGAGGCGAAATTGTTTACCCCAAATTATGAATATCTATACACATGTTTGAGACTTTGAAAAATTCAAGGCCTGGCGAGCGGACTACCCCTCAACGTAAACAACATATTTCCATTCACTCAAAATCTTAATTTGGCCTCAAAATATTTTCCCTCATTTTTTAAAATTAGTTCCCACCTTTCAACAATATAGCGATACAATGTCGAAAGAACGATGTTGGTTTGTCACAAATCCAATCATCGAGTCATTTTCGCAGTTCTTTAGCATTTTGACACCGGTTGCCAATCAAGCCATGCTAATCGATCGGAATAAGTGGTAATCAGAAAGCGCTATGTCTGGTTACGCTGGGCGCGTCAGAACTATCCATTCGGACAGCAACAGTGTATGGTTGACAAGTCTTGCAACGTATGACCGAGCGTTGTCATGCAAGAGAATGACTTTGCGTCTCTTGACCGCTATTGCTGGTCTTTCTTGCGACAAGATCATGTTCAATTTTTCTACTTGACATCAGTAGACATCTGTAGTGACAGTTTCATTCGGTTTTAGTAGTTTGTAATACACTACCATTTACCCACCCTACCATATGCATATCAAAATTTTATAGCGATGAATACTTCGTTTCGGGGTCGATATGGGTAGACCTCCTGGACTAACCCAGAACTTTTTGCGCTTGTGAATATCGTAATAGACCCACTTTCTCTCGCCAATCGCAATACACAATAGGAAATTTTATTTTTCTTGCCAGGCAAGCATAGAAACTGCGACGCGGTTCAAAGTGGGATATTGAATCAATTCGTATGATAGCTATTTGCCCTCCTTCCATCCAATGATAAACGTCGCGAAACGCTTGATTCATAACCAATTCCAACCTTTTCGAAAGTTCTTTGGGAGGTTTAGATGGCTGCTCGTGCAATAAGTCTTGCAGTTCGAAATTTTTTGGTCGTCCAGGTCGTTCTTTCTCATTGATATCAAAATCACCACTTTTAACTCTTTGACACCAAAACCGATAATTCAAGTATGAGCGAGCAGCGTAACGACAAAATTAATGAATGTTGAAGATCCAATTTTGAGTGTTACATAATTAGTGTCTGTATACACCGAATAACTTAACAACACTATATGGAAAATTGTGAATATATTGATGCTTCGAAGTACTTTATCGTGTTAACCAATAGATGTCGCTGATCAAAATACATGCAAGCACCCCGCAGTTTCGGGGTTCTGGGTATCAAGTCAGAAATAAACTTATATGAAAGAAGTAATTGACAAAATTCGAAATTTGTTTTTTAACTTTAGCGAATGAAAAGATAAATCAAATAACTTCTGTACATTGTAACAACTAAGAACTAAATGAAATAGCAAACTTGAACAGCTGGAGAGGGACAGAGAAAATGTAGTTAAAAGCTTAACTGTTCACCATTGATTGAAAATGTCTTTCCAGAATTAAAGAAATCAAATGCTTAAAAAGAAAGCGAAATTTCAAGTCAAATGTGATATGGAGCGAAGTAAGGTACATGCAGTTAGTAATGTCTTTCAAAAAAAAAATATTTAGCGACAATAGTTATTTTTCAATAGCTCTTTCGTTCAAGTTAAACGAGAGAAGGCACGCTAAACGCAAAGCTCTTAATATACAACTAAAGTGACTTACATGTGACCTACATGTACCTATTTTATATTCTTGATCACCGCTCGGCTAGTACCCAGTTTAATCATCTCGTTCCTTTGGTCCTGTCACCCGGCTAGTGCCCAATTTAATCATCTCGTTCCTTTGGTCCTTTCACTCAATGATCGCTGATCAATTCTTGCTAAAAAGCTGAAGTGTCGCATACATATATGTAAATAACTCATTGTGATCACACAGAGGAATTTTTCGCCCACAACTACTGCTACAAACTTATTAAATACATTCGTATTATAAACTTACATTTAGTCCTTTTCAATAATTAATTATTTCATAGTTAGGTAAGCTGTCTGTAAGTAGCCAACGGATGGATATCCAACATACAATTTGTATACCCACTACTGGAGGATGGGTGTATGCTCGTTTGTCATAATGTTTGCAGCCTACAAAACGAAGTTTCAGAAGTCTTATAAAGTATATACATTCGGAATCGATCTAGATATGCCTTTCCGTCTGTCTGTCAGTCTGTCTGTCAGTCTGTCTGTCTGCCTGTGAGAGGTATGTTTTTGACACTCTGTTAATATCGACTTCAAATTTTGCAATAACATTGGAAGTTCTTGTACGCGAATCGATATTGAAAATGGGCCAAATTCGTTGAAGCACACGGCCACAGAAGAACATGGACTGAACGCAATTGTTTCTCTAAGCAAACATTTGTGGACTTTTCTTCATTGCACATAGATTAGGAAAGATAGAAGACTGGAATTTTCTGAATTTATTTTATAGAGGAACTTACGGGTCACGTCCATAAAGCGGAAAAAATTGGGCACGTTCACGCAGAATTATAAGTAATCAAATTTTTATTATTTTGACTTCTTTAAGGTTCTGCACATATTTCTCATAAGCTAAATGAGACAGAAGGTTGAAAAATATTGTGTACTTTCTTCACATAAAAACATACTACCTTTATGAAAATGTGTTAAATCTAAATTCAATATGACGGAGCCGATAACATAGCGGATTCGGTTTTTCTGAGCAATGAAATTAATTGCGCACCAAATAAAGTGACTTGGAAAGTAGATTACGACAAGCTAAGTATATTACTTTCAAATTAGATATGGTACACGTCACGACGGTATGGATTAATATATTCTAAACCATCCCGTATATAAGCTTCGACCACAGCCGAATGCAACTAACTTTCTTACTTGTTTTGTCTCAATTTAACTTTTACTTGGTCCTATGCTGGGATTGCTGCGTGTATTAGTTTTTTGATTCATTGCATAATTTGTGAGTAACCAATATATAACAACTATTCATTCTTCCCTTTGGCTTTGCATTTATTATTTATTTTTTTCTTTTTTTTTTTTTTTTCTATGCAATGATTAACTGCTTCATTTTTCAATCTAAACCAAATAAATTGGTTATCAATTATTCTTATTTTTTCATAAAATTTCAAATATATTGCAAAAAATGTTTATTTTTCTTCTTGTTTTATGAATATTACATTCATTAGTAATGGACCAAGCAAATGCACACACGAATCGAAGCTCTTGTATTTATTGCATGTAACTATAGTGAAACTGTATGAAAAGAAAGAGCGTGCCAACGAGTAACTATCAATAATGAAAAAAACGAAAAACGAAGGAAGAAAAAAAAAAAAACGCAGGATAAAATTTTCTTTATTCATTTGCTTCCTTATGGAAATTATTAAAAGGTCTTCAATAGTTTCAAATCACTTACTTTGCCAAATGAATCAAAATATTTTTACTTTCTTCCTTCCATTTCTTTATACCCCCAAGATGTTAATTAGTAAAAACTAAAGTACACATATATATGCATACGTTCGGCAAATGAACAAATGCTGTAAATTAAAAATTCTTCAAAGAACTTGATTACATTTAGCCGGACATCTCAGACACGTTCCGTTGTATAGGAAAGCAGTCACAGTAGCACTTGTTTCCTATTTACAACGGAAACAATTCGTTGAGTAAGAATTGAACCAAACAAGAACAAGTTCAATGATTACAAAAACTGAAGGGGAAAACAAAAAGGAGCAGCAAAATGCAACTTGACGTTGATGATGAAGTAGACGAACAAGAAATATTCTATAATTGTAAGCAAAACAGGAAAAATTCAGTCAATTCCCAATACATGGTTGGCATGATATTTGCTTTGCGAACAACAACTTAGAGAGTAAACAATGCTTGGATTTTTTGCAATAAATTCTTTTCCGATGATATTGAATAAAAAAACTTCAACTCTTTGAAATAACTGACTCTCTACATCTATAAGCATAGCTAGCAAGGCTTCATCATTATCCCTTATTTAGTGAACTTATTAGTTACAAACCTATACATGGAATAACGTTAATCATGTTGAGATTGGTTTAAGCGTACTTCTGCTCTAATTAATGCAATTGTCTTGTAACATTTCCACACTACTTGTAGACGGTCTTTGAATACTAAAGCCAATCACAAAAAATCTCCTACTACTCTAATACTATCCCTAACTCCATTATTCTCGTGTCTTCTCAAAATACAAGAAAATACCAAAAAGCATTTTAATTTCGGATGGCATAAAAGGGATGTCTTTTACGAAAACATGGCTTAGCTATTATCCTTCAGCTTTAATATTATATGCAGGATAAATGGAGGCAGAAGAAAATTTATAAATAATTTTCCTGCTCTAACCAGTTTTTGTGAAAGCAATTCTCTCTTTATTCTTTTTCCTACTTTTTTTTCTTCTTTTTTTTTCATTTCATTTCTTTTACATATGAGCAAATGCCTCATTGCATATTCCTGTTCATTGATGTTCACTGAAACGTATGCGCCAATATGGCTGCCAATATCCTGTTTGCTATGCGCTTCTATTGAATTGTTGTTATATTTCTATGTTCGCAATACTATCAACTCTTGCAATTTGTCTTTCTCTTAGTTCAGTTAGTTGTTAGTGTTATTGTATTTGTAATGGCCTTGTTTATGAAATGTACGGTTAATAAAGCGTTTCAAATGAGTAGAGTTTTTCAACAGCTGCTTCCACACTTTGTAATTTTCTTTTTTTTATTTGTGTTTCAAACAAATCTCGTATGTCTAATAAAGTTGTGCTTTTTTTTTTTTATTTTGTTACATGAAAACATGAAAACAGATTACAAACGAAAATTCCGAAAATATTAATTATATAGTCAAATGTCTTATATACTTATGTTTATTAAAATAAAGCAAGTTCTATTTAAAATCTAATGACCTTTTCCATAACTCGATGAAGATGCCGAAGCAGAAGCACTTGCATAAGCACCAGAATGACTTTTGGCGTAGCTGCCAGCGTTAGAGTTAGCGTTATCGCCGCTGCATTTATTGGAACCGCAACCACCAGATCCGCCAGCATTTGCACTGCTACTTGCAGTAGCAAAACTTGAGGCGCCTGCACCGCCAAATAGAGACGAATCAAGGCCACTAAAATCTAAATTTCCAAGATTACTAAGTCCTCCAGCGCCTAAATGACCGAAGCCACCCGAAGTACCTTCAGATCCGCCAATACCACTACCACTACTAACTTCATCTCCCCGATGACTGCCATAACCTTTACCACCCCCCCCAGAACTAGAAGAGCCCGCGCCTCCACCAGCGCTAGACCCTACCCCAGCTCCACTACCAACCCCAGTCCCACCAAAACCACCCGAACCGCCACCTCCTAAGGCCGTGCCGCCTCCAGCTCCGCCAAAACCTCCAAAGCCCTTACCACCACTTCCAGAACCACCGAAACCGCCAGAACTACCTAATCCACCACCGGCACCAGCGCCTCCTCCACTACCATCACCAGCTCCAGCTCCACCAAAACCTCCGTAACCCTTACCACTACTTCCGGAACCAGCGAAACCGCCAGAACCGCCTGCTCCACCACCGCCGCCAGCGCCTCCACCTCCACCGGCGCCACCAGCGCCAGCTCCGCCTCCTCCAAATCCTACTGAACCGCCAATTCCGAAGCCGTTTCCATCACCCGTGCCGGCTCCAGCTCCGCCAAACCCTCCGTAACCCTTACCACCAGTTCCAGAACCACCGAAACCGCCAGAACTGCCTAATCCACCACCAGCACCAGCTCCAGCTCCACCAAAACCTCCGTAACCTTTACCACTACTTCCGGAACCAGCGAAACCGCCAGAACCGCTTGCTCCACCACCGCCACCAGCACCGCCACCTCCACCAGCACCACCAGCGCCGGCTCCACCAAACCCTCCTGAACCACCAACTCCGAAACCGCTACCATCGCCTCGGCCGGCTCCAGCTCCGCCACCAACTCCTCCGCCTCCACCGGCACCTCCTCCACTACCAGAACCAGCTCCTGCTCCACCAAATCCTCCGTAACCCTTAGCACCACTTCCGGAACCAGCGAAACCACCAAAACCGCCTGCTCCACCACCGCCGCCACCTCCTCCACCTCCACCGCCACTACCAGCGCCAGCTCCACCAAATCCTCCTGAACCATCAGTTCCTAAGCCACTACCATCGCCTCGGCCAGCTCCACTTCCTCCACCAGTTCCTCTGCCCCCACCGGCACCTCCTCCATTACCAAAACTAGCTCCAGGTCCACCAGATCCCCCGTAACCTTTACCAGCACTCCCGGAACCAGCGAAACCGCCAGAACCGCCTGATCCTGCACCGCCGCCAGCACCGCCACCTCCACCGGCACCACCAGCACCAGCTCCACCAAATCCTCCTGCACCACCACTCCCTAAGCCGCTACCATCGCCTCGGCCAACTCCACCTCCGCCACCAGCTCCTCCTCCGCCACCAGCTCCTCCTCCCCCACCGGCACCTCCTCCACTGCCAGTTCCAGCTCCACCAAACCCTCCGTAACCCTTACTACCACTGCCGGAGCCACCTAAACCGCTACAAGACGCTCTTCCGGCACGGCCGCCAGCACCGCCCCCTCCACCAGCACCACCAGCGCCAGCTCCACCGAATCCACCTGAACCGCCGATTCCTAAGCCGCTACCATCGCCTCGGCCAGCTCCACCTCCGCTACCACCTCCAAAGCTGTGTCCAGCTCCGAATCCACCAAAACTTCCATGACCGCCGAAACCGCCACTGATTAGCCCACCACCACTTCCCTCAAAGCCCAAACGTCCCGGCGCACCGCCATATCCACCACCTAACGATACGCTGAATGTTTTTTCTTTTCTAAGACCGCCTTTTCCCGCACCGTTTAAAAAGGGATTCCCAGCAGATGCAAATTTACTAACGCCATCCAAAATGCCACCAACAGTGCCAGCAATACCATGCTTGATACCGCTTAAATCGACGTCTTTATGCAAAGAAATTGCGCCACTACCGCCGGCGTTACCGCTTTCTAAAGTATTCCCACTTACACCTGCTGCTTCGCCGCAGTGATTGGAGCCGCAACCACCGCTACCCCAACTGTTACTTGAAGCGCTAGCTGAAGCAGAACTGCTTGCTCCACCCCCTCCACCGCCGCCACCACCATAACCACCCCCATGATGACCATAACCAGCAACTACGTCTGCGATTGAGATTACAGAGCATTCAAAACAAATATCCTTTCCATTGATTAATCAAACAAAATCGCTTACCCACATAATTGCCACTAATTAATGATAGAATTGCAGTCAGTGCTAACAAATTCTTTTTCTGTTCAAATCTTCTGTTTCTTGTCATGTCGCTCGAACGATTGCCATTACAAAACACTTACAATTTGCATTTATACACAATTTTCGATTATGCTCATCAACGATGCAAATTTATTGTTATTCGTGTAGAGCCGATTAAATAATACGTATTTTGGAATTTTTTATATACATTTATTGTTGTTTGCAATCGTATAATTGAATTAATCAACAATCAAATAGAGAAATATGAGCGGATAGACAGATATGGGAAAAACCATTCTAAATTTCATCTCTCAACTTGGAACACGATTTTTCTTATTTTACATTCTTTTTTTTTTTCTTTCTTCTTTTTTTCATAGTATATGACGAAATTTTTACTCAGATTTAATCAAAAAAGTATTAGATAAGAAATGAAATACACTTGGAAAAGTACTACTTATGAAACAGATGAAAAACATATTGTGCAACAATCTTCACACGACGAACAAAGCTTTGTTTATAACATAAAAGTTTGTCTTTATATGTAAACTGGGACACAGTTGACGTCGAGCGACCTTCATAGTAAATCTTGATGTAGCGCCAAAAGCAATTATTATTAATACGTAAATTTTGCCTTTTTTTTTTTTGTTAATTTTTAACATTCTGCTCCTTCACATAAAATACAAATTTTATGTAGTTTGGTTAGATGGTAAAAATTACCGAAAACACTGCAGTACATAAAATCTTTTAATTTCACTTGTGTTCGTGTAAATTTTTCCAGTGTAATTTGACGGATTAAAAGCATCTAATTAAAAACTATACCTGTAAATGCTGTAAATCTTTATTTGCATTAACAATTTAAAACTCAATCCTAATCAAGTAAATAATAGGAGAGAATGTTTAACACTCAGACCGAATAATGAACACCCATCAGTTAACGTAAATGTATGGAAAATTAACCTACATTTTTCGTAGTTCAAGTTTGTCAACATATATTGTCCCTTAATATTTCGAAATTAAAGTTAACCCACTGTTGGGTGTCGCGTCCCTTCTTCAAATTTCTTCTAAAAACAAATTTACCAATTAATAAACCAATAGAAGTCTTCTGGGCAAAGTTGAATCCACATATGCATTATGCACCCAAACATGCAAAAAAATATTATCTTAACCTTTGAGCTAAGCACCGTTTGCAACATGTATCAATGCAAGCTGTTCGCCTAGGGCGCATTTTAGTACAAATCAGCAAAGTTCGATATCGTCTTTTGTTTCGAAAAACAAACAGTCAGCAAAACAAGTTATTGGTAAAACTAATTTGAAATTTTTACAAATTTTTGCAGTTTCGATAGTCTCAATAACAGCCAAGTAGATGGAGAACAGCGCATGACTAAAACAGCATTGAAGTTCAAGTTCATTGTATTAACTTTAGAGTTCACGACGAGCAACCAAACTAATGCTAAGTAACATCAACAAGTTAGATTTCCCACCAAATAAAAAAAAAACATTTTTTGGAAAAAATCTTACTTGTAGAAAGACTTAGCTTAAACAGATGGTAGGATGATTACATCTTCTATGCCACTTTTGTCTAATGACAATCTATCCGGCTTCCGTTATTCAAATATCAAAAATTAGGTCTTGTTTCAATACAAAGATTGATATTTTCTTGGATCCTTTACATTGGATGGAATGAATAGTGAAATAGTTTGCTTTCATCTAAATTTTTCATCATTCACCGATTTTTGTTGAAGAATAAATGGGGAAATTTTCTTGTTAATGACAAATAGCGTAAATCTGTTACATATAGTGAATTTTTTAACATTGGCCATGATATGGATAAAAATTGCAAAAATAGTCTAATCGGAACGATTTCTATTAACCAGAGCATCAAATCTTATTATAATTTATGTAGAAAAACTTCGACCCACATGTTCAATGCAAAACATATCGACAGACATTAGAATGACAAAGATAGACAAATGGATAGATACTTTTATGCCAATCTCGAAAACTATTTTAAGGTAACCCATATAACAAACGTTGAATGTATCTCAAGCCCTCCCAGATGTCACATGTATTCACTCAAACTCAATATACCTTGTGCCATAAATGATGTGGGACATAAAAATTTAACAGCAAACCAAGCAGTCTATACGAAGTTTTAACATCACATTCTAGCAAAAATCAAAAGAATCTGTCGACTGTTTGCTAATGGTGGACAGATTTTTAATATATTTTAGTTAGGCTTCGTAGTCGCAATAAGAAGGGAAAATTTATAGTCTCGCAAGAAATTCAGTGATGGTATTAGTCACTCAGTTCGATGAACAGACAGACATCTTCAATACATATTTCTATGCAGTCTTAAGATTTAAAAAAATTCTTACATTCAAGGCCATGGATTGTGTCATCTAATAATAGATGGAAAAGAAGCTTACAATTTTTAAGTTACTTTATGAGCGGAGCTCCTACACTAATTACTCTTCTTCAATAGTCATACGTTGGTAATATGCTTCCATGTCTGTAAACTTTTGTTAAATGCTCGCAATTTGAATCATTTATAATTGCTTTTATATGTAACTAAAGCTTTAAAAAATGTAATATAACTAATCTATTTCAAATTATCAAATGGTAGATGGCCACAATTCTCACATATGTTTGACATTAAATGAACTGCATTCTGAACCATTTGTTAGCTAAATATAAGTAATAAATTTCTATATGTATCTCATAGCTTCACCAGTAACAATCGACGATTTTCTAATTTTAATTTTGTATTACTCTTTTCCAATTATTCATAAAATTACAATAATACAAAAAACCAGTTTGATGACGAATTAATATCAATTTATCAAAATAAATTAAAATATATGCTTGTTTTCGTTTCAATATAATAGACATTCTCTTTTGCTTGCCTAGCTAATAGATACCGATCTGTAAGGTAAAAGTGGAGTGTATGCATTTTCATTTTTTATCATATCACTCAATATCTCTCCGGTCTGAAGCACATACGACAACACTATTCACAGATCCATATGATTTCTAGGTGGTATCAACTTTCAAACGATACGTGTCAAAATTTCATGGTAATCTATAATAACTATTAGTTTACAAATTATAGGTGTTTTGGCGACACTACTTTTTCGATCGCTTTGGACGGCTTTCATCGATTGCTGTTCACTCGGTAGACGCCTAGTGACTCCCAATGGTTCTGGACCGCAGCGATGAACAAAGGTTTTATTCATCGTCTCATATCGCGCAAAAAGATTATTATGGGTAAATGTCTCTTGATATCGCTAAAACGTCGATCTTGTGTGTCTTCAAAAAATATTGCCGAGTGCGCACGACCACAGCGTTCAGGATGGTTGGCGCTCATGCGGCGGTGGTTAAAATTAGCAAATCACCTATAAACTTATCTTTTTGACAGTCAAGAGTCGCCATAATATCTTTCAAGCCAAAGCCGATTATTAACGCATTTTATCGCATCAAAAAGGTAAGAAATGGAATTTTTCCACTGTCCACTGACAACCATCCCTTTTTTTACACGACAGATAAGTCTTTTAAAATTCCGTGCGAAAAAACATTGTCTACAAAATATGTGCAATTTATGGTGCATTTATGGATATGTTCTATAATTGTTAAAAATCGTGACAGATGCAAAAGAAAACCTATATTTACCAAGAAAACCGTATAAAAAAAGTAATAATGAAATCCATATTACTTGCTTATAAGGCAAAAACAATTCTTTTTCATCACACAAAAAGTACAACATGCAATTCAGTCCATAAGTACAACATGCACAAATTTTATAAAATTATTATAAATAAAAATTAATTTCCCAGCTCTGATTAACGCATATGGGGATATAAGCCGATTGACTTTTGATCACAGTCTTCCCTCAATTGTATTTTTTGTTTCTTTATACACTGTCCAAATTGGAATTAAAAAAAGATTATATTTTGGGTTTCCTACTAGAGCAAAAAATTCGTAATGAACTGTGCTATTTTAAAATCGTGTAAAAAAGATCGTGTAAAAAAATGGTTGAGTGTACAAAGGAGCGTTACTAACACGGCTCTTACTTTTAAACTAACTGTTGCAATGTCGTAGAATTTTGACAAGTATCGTTTAAAGGTTGATGCTATCCACAAATGAGACGGACCTGTGATGCCACAAATGTTTCAAGCAGATTACTTATTGAGTGAGATGTTATAATATATCCGCATTCGAAAATAAGCATATTGATGCAATAAATTGTATTGCCATCCAATAGACTACATTTTTATCATTTTTTCAATTGTTTTTTCAACTATGCATCGGCATTTCCTTAATTCCCCTTATATTATAACTGATATACGAGGATAAGCAAATTTTCGCGATTTTCTTTAGTTTATCATTGCGTTTGAAGATGCATTACGCTCTCTTATTTACCACAGTTATATCTAATCCTAGCAATAACTATCAAATTAACAGATAGATAGACCATCAGTTTTTCGATCTTTATTTTATATTAAGAATATGTAAATCAGTTCCCTAGAATTGATTAGAAAAATAGGCAAAGGCCCACAAATGGACCAAGGGGTACAGTGACTTTATAAATTCAAATCTCTATAAAGTCTCTCACTAAATATTCTGCAATCAAAATTAATGTGTATTTCATCTCCGCGCTGACGAGTATAGAGAACAAAGATTACTATATCGTCTAGAAGCTAATAAAACAACAAAGTGAATTAACAATATATAATTGTTTAGTCACTGATAGCGTAAAATGTCAAGCTGTTAATCAATAATCTAAATGTCACTGATAATTTTGTGGGGAAAAAAAAGAATAAGTCGACAAATTCATTTGGTTTTTTTTTTTTTGGAGATTTTAATGAATCGAATTTTGAAAAAAGGGGATTTTTGAGAAAAAGAAAATTTTTTTTGTCATTATTTTGCTTTTTGGTTTATTAAATCTTATTAATTCTGTTAAGTAGAAATTTACATTATAATTTGTAGTATTGTTTAAATATTTAGTATTATTATAGAAATATTAAATAGATTTGTAGACACATCAAGTAATTGTTATAAACTCGGAGAGAATTTCA